TCTTGTTGATTCCTATTATTCATTCAGTATGCTTCTTTCTACAGTCTGCTAACTTACTTTGATTACCAATTTTACACGTGTTAATAATATATAAATTACAAATAATGAGTCGTATACTGAAACATAATATTCAATGTAAACGGTAAAATTTAACAAGTTAGTTGTGAACTACTTAAGGATTAAACTAAATAACACAGCTTGCATTTGAAAATATAATATTGGAAGATACAATCTGCTACGAACAGTTATTCATCGACAGAAATCAGTTATTTATCAAGAGATAGAAGTTTTTTTTTCTTTTTTGAATATTGATCTCTACCAACTAATGCTAGGTATATAAATATATATTGGTACTATATTTACTACTACATATTACGTACTACTATTTGGGCGACCGAGCTTCGCTTGGCGATTTTCGGGTAAAAGATATAAATTGCGTCTTTTTACACAAAATTATATATATATATATATATATATATATATATATATATATATATATATATATATATATATATATATATATATATATATTAGAATTGCTCATTCAATATTATAAGATATATGTATATGGATGTAAGTAAATGTACATACATAGGTACATGTGTCACCTATTTGTTATTTCATAATATCATATTCAATTAAAGAGTAAGAGCTAAATACTCGTACACAAAATTTGTATTAGTGACGTATAAAATATTTATAGAACATAAAGTTTTCAGTGTAACACCTAAATGAATACGTTCACAATAACAGAAGGAAATTTTGGTTTCGCTCGTCGCATTGGTAGCAAGTGGAATGATTTAAACACTGCAGTGTAAGCCTGCGGCTTGCTACCTCGTTTTAGGGTCACTTCGTACGGCTGCACTGTGGTATTTTATCCTTTTGTGTTGTATGTATGAATCGCAAGCATTTACATACCTTTCTAAATGAATTTCATAGTTTTGATGAAATGTCTGCATTTACATTTTAATATAGTAAAAGTTAAAGTTTCTAAGTTGAGTATGTAAACTACTGCCTCGGTGGTGTAGTGGCTAGCATGTACGGCTGCACACCCGGAGGTCCTGGGTTCGAGTCCTGGGTCGGGCCAAGTTTAGTTATTGAGTCTTTCTGTATAGTAGGAGTTAGTAGGAGTTAGGAGTAGGTAGGAGTTGGGAAGTTGGCGGTGTTTCACCCCCGTGCCTCGGAGAGCACGTAAAGCCGTCGGTCCTGCGCCTTAACTCTCACTGGTCGTGTCGAGCAGTCGTCCCACCGGAGTAATGAGAGTGACAGGAATAGAGAGTGCACTTGTGTTTGCGCGTACACTTGTGCACTATAATATCTCCTGCGCAGTTAGCTAGTCCCAATGAGATTGGTCGCCGTAGCCAGAGTCGGTCAGGAGAACATCATCATGTAAACTAGAAGTATGGGTTATTTTTTTCTTCGGATAAAGGTTAGTTTCAGTGGAAAATTACAAGCAAATATATAAATATAGTGTATATAATATGTCAATTAAGTCAAGTTAAGGCCTAATTTATATACATTTTTTTTATTTTTTAACTCCTAACACACTACTAACTAAAACTAAGCACACTAACTAAAAATACATTAACTTCAAGATAATTGTGAAAGTTTTTTTTTGTCATTATTCTATCACTAAGTATGAAATTTAATTTTAACCATATAACCTATATATAAAACCATCCTTAAAAAAACCCTAATAAATATTCACAACATTCATACACCACACAAAATTTATACACCAGAATTAAAAATCGTTCGAATCATTTTCGAAGCCTATTAAAACATGTTTTAAATTTCAACCTTTTTTCTTTTACATTATTACAACATGTTACATATAACCACTATTATTTTATATGTATGTCAAAATTATGTTTTTATATTATTTGCTGTTGAAACCCTTGTCCCATAGAGTCAAAGTGCACTTTTTAAAAGATATTTTCGCCTCTACTGGTGACAGGAGAGCTAGCGCATTTTTTGCCCAAAGAATCGGCATTGCCATTCAGTGGGGGAATGCGGCTAACATTCTTTGCAACTACTCGTATTCCACACAAACATGACTTGTCAGTAATAATTAGGGGTACATTTGTTTTGTATATACATTTAAGTATATTTGTAATTTAATTTTTTTTAACGTATTTTTGTAATGTATATATTATACATATATGTATTTATACATTACATATATATATATATATATAATTGTAATTCTCAACTACTACGAGTATTCTCGGGTAAGAAATTCTATATATGGACATTGGACAGTAAAAACGAAAGAGTAATAGTTGTGTCATCCAGTCATTTGTTTCAATGTAATCTAAGAAATATATTGTAAGAAATATTTCTTGTGAAGAAAAACATTTGTAAGTTTTAGTTCTTACAAATGTGAACCGCCCTTAGCCAGATGGGTGCACGCGATTAGCCCAACCGCAAATCTACCGATAGTCCGCCAACTAAATTACGCCCGGCGATCTTTATGCTCGGTGAATGCCTTATCTGCACCTTAAAATACTATAATGTATAGGGAAACTGAAACTTTAATTTTTAACTACTTTTTTGTGTGACCTTTATAGGGCTTTATTTTGACGCTTATACGTTGGTATGATCCGATATCTTAAGAATTATAAGCGACTCCAATCCGTTACTTTTTTTCATGACAATATTTATAAATTGTAATATGAATAATACAATTTTAATTCATATATGTAGATAGCTCTCTATTCTAGATTCGAGACAGATGTACACTACTTTTCCTTTCAAGAATTAAAAAGCTTATCACAGTACAAAAGGTGTACAAAAATAACATAAAAATTAAAAATATCAACATAACCGAATACTCCTATAATATACATAGTTAATCTAAAATTAATTTTAATACACTCAAAAGCTCTATTGATATATATTGTAAAATGGTTGTTCCAGTTGGCTTTAATTTTCATTTTGTTGTTTCAATTTTTTATCATTCAACGCCATCTACAAACGATTCAGTGTAAACACTCAGTAAATACATTTGTGTATACGTGTAACACTATAGAGTGTATGGTTGTGTGCGTCTCAGAGCACTCTGCTACTAGTCGATATTTACAACAGTTAACTCATCGGCCTCCATAGCTCAGGGGTTAGAGCACTGGTCTTGTAAACCAGGGGTCGAGAGTTCAAATCTCTCTGGGGGCAATGGAATTTCCAAGCGTATTTTGCTTTTTTATGTTAATTTATATTTTTAATTATAATGAATAATTTATGTCCATTATATTTTTTTAATAAAGAGTCGACTAGTTTATTTTATTTTTTTGTAATATTGAAACGATTCGTCACGTAAATATTTTTATATAGTGACACTTCCGTATATATGGACGTAATTATGCACATTTTGTATTATGTATATATACAAAGCACTTATCATACTAATTTAAATTTATATTTTAATTTATTTTATATTAATAAAAAATTAAATTTTAAAGAGATAAAGCTTGTAGGAAGTACCTAATCTCTAGATCTAAGTACTTAACCGATTTAGATGAATTTTGGGAAGAAGATAGTTTGAGACCCTGGGAAGTGGGAAGGACATAGGATTTTAATCCCGGAAATCATGCCTTAAGGGGGTAAAAGTGGGGATGAAATTTTGTATGGGGATTCTAACTAGGGACGAACACGAGCGAAGTGAGGGTGCTAGTGTTTTTTTAAACTAGACGATATTTAATGAGTCTATCGATCGGTGTTCAATTTAATCTTAAGTTTAATCTCGTGTAAATTAGGTTGATACCTGGTTTAAAAACGTATCTTCCATACAGGTAATAAAATTGTAACTAAGCCGAATGTTGGAATCAATAGTTTTTACCGCATCACGGAAAAACCACTGGAGGGATTTTGATGAAATTTGGTATGCAATGCTAGTCAAATAATAAAATTAAAATGTTAATGTTATCTCATATGTATATTATTTATAACAAGTAATATGTCCACAGTTGGTTGCGGGTTGGATCCGTATAATGCAAATTTTATGTGTACAAATAATTAATCTATCGTGGATTGAGTATAATATGTTTGAGAATTTTTTGTCTAGTAGGTTATGGGGTGTCGTCATGATTACATTTACTTATTTATTTCCCGCATATGAATCGATGTTCATAAACCAATCAATCTCTCTAAATTGCCGTTATCCGTTATATGTTCTTTAATATACTGTTAATGAATTCTTATACGCTATGAATTAAAAATTCGGAGTAGCGCGGATTTCTACAACGTAATATAGTGTTCATAAATAAAAATTTAATCACAATTATTGAATGACATTTACATTTTTTGTAGTCTCTACAATAAAAAAACCGTTTATTATATTAATTTTATGGTTTTATTAAAATTTCTGATACTAGCGACTTATCATCGCGTCGCTGAGATGCATCCCTAGGTGATTAACAGTAGCTTATGTGTTAATCCAATAATATGTGTATTAAACATCCAAATCCGTCCGTCCAGCCGTTTCAGCGTGAAGGATAAGAAATACACACACACACACACACACGCACACGCGCGCGCTCACACACACACACACACACACACACACACTCACATACTTACACACACACTCACATACTCACACACATATAAAATTTCAGATTTGTAATAGTATAGTCCGCACTCCGAAATCCGAATAAAGTTTTATGGTGATATTTTTTTTTATTCTCATTGTAAGAGATGCGAGTCACTTACTTGATGACTTTGTTGCTCTGGTAGGTTTAACAAATATTCTTATCTAGATATCTAGAATACTATTATTATCTAGTTTCGCTTACTTATGTTGTGTTTACTTATATTATACATAATTTTGCTAATTCTGAAGTAGAATCTGCAAGATATATGTATATATTACAAATTTCAAATAATCCTTCTGCTGATTGTAATAAAAGGGGTTCTCTACGTGCTCATCCCATTTAAATGTGGTACACATCATGATGAAACTTTAATAAACGATGTTATTAAAACTTTACATATCCAATTTGCAGCGGACTGGGCTACAGAGTGTGTCTCACGCGCTGAAATCCTCCGGCTCATATACCAGGGGCGTTTCCTGCACAGCTCTGTGACGCTGGGCGCGCTCGGCCTGCCTCTAGGGCGCACGACAGTCATGCACCTTGTCCCCCGTGAGCACTTGCCCGAGCCTAACTCACATGGTAAGACTAATTCACTAGATTTTTCATATAAACTTAGTTTTTAAAGATATTAGTATTTTATTTTTTGATGGCGCCTAAGTAATTAAATGTGTTGTTTGTGACATCATTTATAGAAAAGTTCTATAAAAAAAGGTGCAGTTATTTTGTAAAAAAATACACATAATTTTTTCTGAGTGATCACTTAAGGCCCGTCAAATTTTGCAAGCATGAAGTAAAAAAAAAGTTTGTTAAATATATTTTTTTTTAATTAAGTTTATCTCTATGCTACAATAATGGCCCCCTTTTACAGAAGTCCGATGGAGTTAACATTACCCAATCCTTATCCCATCCAAATCCTTCCTTCAATATTTGTAAGTTTTGAATAATCTCATAACATATTACGTAATATATGAGCAATATGCCTAATAATTAATTAGATCTAAATAAAATAAACACACTATCACTTTTGGGTACTTTAAATTGTAAACTGTAGAGCCATTGTAAGTTTTTTTTTAATTTTGATCAAATAAATGACGAAAACTTCATATAAGATGATTTTTAGTTAGATATTTAGTTGACATTAATGTGTTTTTATTACAAAAAAGGTATATAGTTAATAATTATGATGTTTTTTTTACTAATATAGAATCAATTTGCATTTCCAGATCAACGACAAAAGAGTAAAGGCGGCTCCAGCAGTTGTTGTCCCGCATCGTGCTGCATATTGTAATGCTTCGAGCGGACTATGTGTTCACCCTCAGTGATGTAGTCAGGATTCCATTCGCCCTAGACCTAGTGTAAAAACTTGTGATGTTTTTAAAAGACTCGCTCCTTCACTACCTACATTTTCGTTTCAGATTATAGCACATTTCTTTCAAACGTTTCACCCGAAATTAATTACGCACAGTATAAAAGAACATTAAAAATATCGCAGGTCTCTCGAAGACACACAAGCTTTACTAAGCGAATGTATATCTCACCGCGTTATTTATAGGTCATAGAATTATTGTGCTGCCGATATTTAGTTTAGTAGTTTACGATATAACGATTCGTGTCGCTTTTGTCACGTTGTTCAACTACGGACCTATCGCGTGCGGGTCGGTTTGTGCATCGAATGTTTCATCTGGTCTTTGTTGATATCGTTTTATTGATTGGATAATATTTATAATTTTTAATTGTTTTTTTTTATTTCACGCCTTACTTTTTATTTGTATTTAAAAAATAATTGGTTTCCCAAACATATGTACCTACTCTCCTATAGACAGCGAAGGTCACGATGAAATGGACTGATTCAACGCAGAACTGCGGGCAATAACTATGTTAGTATTATAATTTAGGCCATCTACATGAATTTATATGACGTTACTACGGAGATATTTATAAAGTTTTAAAAATGACAAATTATCGTAGTAATGTAAAATTACTTGTTTGCAATGTACATAGTATAATATAACGGGCTATATATCTTTGTGATAGGTTCTCGCAATATTTCTATTGTTTTTTTTATTAGTATTATTTAATGTAACGCTATTTACTGCGCTAGTGTAGCTTTTATGAAGTATCGGGCATCGTTTAGATTTTTACGCGTAGCGAAGTCTCGGAGCCAATTAACCTTTAAAATAATAAAATTATATATGAATTGCATGTGAAAACAAACAATAAATTATTTGTTAAAACTTTGCATATTTCCGACTTTGTTACGAATTTATCAAAAAACACGGCGACTTACGCGAAATTTGATCGAAATTTTCATAAAATTTTAGTATAGATTTACATTTTTTTCCGTTATAAATGGCCGTATTTGACTTAAAACCAACACGTGTGCTGAATTTGGTATTATTTTTCTATGTCCATATTCCTGTACATGGCTAGCGTTACCCGTTACCAGGTCCTGTATATAATAGAAGAGCTTATTATTATGATTTTACATCACATTAGATTCATTGTTTTAGCTTTATTTACTTAGCTTTAGATATTATTTTTATATTGGCTTCTTTGAGTTGTCTATTAAATTTGAATCAGATGTTTTCGTTTTTAGTTTCGGTTGTTGTAGGCAGAATTCAGATTTTGGAGATATTTTTAGCTAATTATTGTTTAATATTTGTTAAACCAATAAATTGCATAGATTTTTTAGAAAATTCCTAAATTTGAGTACTTGTGTTTGAGGCTATTAAGTGAAATTGGTTTGCTCTGTTTGAACTCTCCCTATAAAACTTAAATAGGGGATACAGTGAATCTTCATCAAAATTATAAATCTCATTTAACTTTTGATATAATTCATCCTGTCGCTTTTATGAAAATGCGATATGTTTTGTGATATAGTACAAATAAAATTATTTACGCGACAGAGATATTGTCCTTACTGAAATTATCTTTGAGCAGTATTAAGTGAAACTGAAAACTAAAAAATATTCGGATAAAAGAACGAAATATTCATACATTTGTTTAAAATGACTGAAAAATATTGAAAAAAAAACAATCTTGCCAACATCGAAAAGAAAGGCAAGTGTACCAATATTTAGTTCGACATCCGTTACAGTATGAATGTTTTTTTTTATTTCGATAACTTTGTTTAGTTCGCGTATGTATGTATGTATTTTGTTAAGTTGTGTAAAATACCTAGTTTTAATTAAAATAAATTTACAATGTCATACGCATGTTTTATTTTCTTTACGCTTTTGCCATCCTCTGTACATACGCTTGGTTAATATAGCGCTTATACATTGGACTATACGGTATAGTCCGTAACCTTCGTAGAACAGAGTTGCATCTGTGACGGACTATAAAATCTTTTTCATACGATATTAGTAGTGAAGGATGTTTAAAATTTGATTTAGTTATTATTAAACTAAACTTCTTCTCTTTAAGAAGAATAAACAATAGTTATTTATTATATTATATCAAATGATAGAAATTATGTATTTATTTAAAAACATTTTTAGATGCCATTTTGTTGTTCGAAGGTTACAATGAATTCATAAAAAGGGTGTGACGTAGAGTCGTTCAGTGATATCGTAGGTCAGATAGTTCGATGTCTTCACCGTATTTTAATATTTCATAGACTATAGCTCTTAAACTTAATCGAGTTATATAAGTGTTTCTACTACACGCTAATTATATAGGCGATGTCACTGTCATTTCCAAGATTAAATATTATATATAATAACCTATATACCTTAAAACCTTTTCCCTTAAAATATTAGAATAAACTTTTCACCTACCATTTTTTTGTATATCCTAACTCTAAAGTCTAAGGTATAGATATGAAAACAGAATACCTAGTCTCTTTTAGAAATAGTAATGTTATTATTAAATGTAAGATTTTCATTATTATCTTCAAAACATCGAACTTTATCCTGGAATGGCAGTGACCAGGCAAATGCCGTCGACGAAATGTAAATATCTTTTATTTAGTCAAACCTAGAATTACAAATTAGCTTGATATTTTTTAACACCGTTGTATGTGGATCTGCTTATATTTTTATAAACTAGTAACAATTTTATAGATAAATGTGGTTTATCTCCGTAATAGCAATAATACTCGCGTTTAGTGAACGTGGACTATTATATAATACGGTTTAGTCCATTTCATAATATTTAATATTTATTTTATTATAGATATAATTCAAATCAGTCGTTGAATTGATTATGTTAAGCATTTAATAATATATATAGTCCACCACACATACAACGGTCCTATCTGTAATAAATTCCAAATACTAGGTGTCACTGTATAACAGGTTTACTTCGTACATAATTATATACTTGTTAATATAAAATTAATGATTATAACAATGTTGATTAATTGACACTTTGGTTTGTTACGAAAATGGGGTACATGATCATAACACTATAAAATACTTAAAAACTCAAATATTGTTTTAATAAGATTAAAAATTAAAATTTAATAGCTAATTTTGAATCAAATATCATTTCACTTTCCAATAAAAAATATCAAGTCATAATGAGTGTCGCCATAATATGTAAATATTTTAAATGAAATAATTTTGTAATATTTTTTTTTGTTACTGGTAACTTATTTTTTCAATCATTTAGTATTGCGAAAGGTATAGTAATTTGAATCAATAATTTCATAATTAAATGCAGTTTATCTTAATATATTCTATTACTTTTAACGTCTTAACAAACACACAAGTCATGTACCCCGTAGGTTCATTGATGCGGCGTCGGGAGCTTCGAATCGATTCGTTTGTAACGGATTTTATCGGAAATTATAGGTTGTACATTGTTTGAACGATTGAGTTTCGATGGGGTCAAATAAAATTTTAAGAATGTACGCAAGTCTTTTATTTTACTTTCATATATACAATTAGTATTTGCACGCGACTCTGCTCACGTGGAAAGTCGAGGGTTCAATCCAAGATATCTACCTATCTAAATTCAGAATTTCAATAAAATTCATTTGGATGTTAAATCGTCAAAAAGTGACAAAATACTTTTTTGCAAACTTTCACATTTCTTACTTTAGTTGTATGATAAAATTATATAAATCTTTGCCAGTCTTTTTGACTGTCTGTTTTGTATCCAAATATAGCTGTTGTATAGTAAACATATTAAAATTAAATAATAATACTATCTGTGAAAATATAATTTTCCGAAACATTCGATGTTTATCTTAATAGTTGGAATATTTAAAGTTAACAGTTCAAATTTATATTTCGTAATACATTTTTGGTTATAAAAAATACCTATTTTATTCCAAGCTTTTTCACGTTACCAGCACTGTACAAACGAGTTTAACTCGCAATTACCAAAACTATAACAAAACTTGATAAATAATGCACATCATAATTATATAACGATGTTTATTAATTATTTCTCATAAGCGAAATAGCAAGAGATCAAGAAGAGATCTCTGTCTAACTCTAACTCGGCCGCGGCGAGCGTGTGCAGGCGCCGCTCCGCGCTCGCCACCGCCGCCAGCTCCGGCGGGGTGAGGGTCTCTAGTACCTGGCCATATAATTATATATTAATATATCGTAAATAAATTATTTTATTGTCATTGGTCCTTGTTAATGTGTAAAGATTCAGTTCAATCTGAAGTTTTGAAGTGTGTGAAAATTGCGTTCAAGAGTTCCGTTTGTCGTCCTGACCAATTTCGGCCATGGCGGCTGGTATTGGTCAGGAGGCCATTATTATTATTTATTATATAACGTATAGCTAGACTGTATTTTATGACGTCGTCAATGTTGAATGAGAACGAATTGGGGCAAGTGAGCATTGAACGAATGAATGCAGTGAATTGAATGGAACAATTAGTTAATGCAGTAGTGTATGTTGTAACGGCGTGTAACATGTAGCACATAAAGTATAGTGTGTACTGATATCGTCGATGTTGAATGAGTATGAGTTGAGACGAATGAGTTAATTGGTAATGGGAGCGGAGTGAATGCGGTGTATATTGCGATGACATATACCGTGTGATGTGTAGGGTGTATTAACGTCGTCGACTAGGTGAATGTGAGTTAAGGTTTGTGAAAATGTTGAACGAATGAAAGAAGTAAAGTGAGTTAGCGATGGGCGATTGTTGCAAAAAAAAACAATCGATTGAATCGAAAATTGTGCTATTGCACATTCGATTGTCGATTGCAGTGCTATGATTATTCGAATAACAATCGACAAACTACTAACTGTACGTACGACGCCCGCTGCACGTGCGTGTGGTGAACTGAGGAAGATCGCGCGGAGCAGTGCGTGCGGGGTGCGGGACAGTTTTATGTCGATTGTTTTTAAGAATAACTTTAATTTGTTTATGTACGAGTATCGTAATATAGTTATAGTAGTTAAAGTTAACACGCAAACCGTCAGTCATTATCTCCCGCCTCACGCCGTTAGTCGATAACAATCGATATTAACATCGATTCTTATCGACTTTTATCGACTATACTGAACAATCGACTAATTCGATTAGCTCTAGTAATAATCGCCCATCGCTAAAGTGAGTATCGTAGCAGTTAGTAGCGTGTGACGTGAGCACTGACGTCGTCGATGTGCCGCTGCGGCTCGCCGCGCACGCGCATGCCGTGCACGATGGAGCGCACGCGGCGCCGCTTGTCCAGCAGGCGCGCGTGCGCGGCGCGCAGCGCGGCGCCGGCGCGGCACGCGTTGTGCAGCGCGCGGTAGCACATCTGCTGCGCGGTGTGCGCCGCCTGCGCGAGCACGGATACTTTGTTTGTTTATATTTTAAATCTTATTAGTTTATTGTAAACGACTATAACTAGACTTTGTTATTAGACCCCTGATATATGACAGATACACATTTCCTAACAAATATCTCTTTAAAAAGTGGCGTCGACATGTGATGTTAAGTGAAACCAAATAATAAAATTTAAAAATCGGAAGTCCCAAATGTCTAAGCACAATATCGAACGTACGCATACCACATAATTACCTACTTTTTTTAATTTTGCCACACGGAAAGCAATGACCAAAAGAAATTAAAAAAAAACTCAATTCAATTCCAATTGAATTGTACGCATATTTTTGAGGACACTTTTGAGACGTTAGTTGTGTGTGTGTTTGTATACCAATGCACACCACACATATTATTCCTGCCCTTTTTTAATCTCTTTATTTATTTTGCTGTGACTTTTTTTAGCTTGTGAATATAAACAGTATAGCATACTGTTTAAGATTTAGATACACCAACATACTTAATAATTATTAATTACATCTATACAGATGAATAAAATTGAAGTGTCTGTTTGTAATGTCAAAATAACAGCTTTTTACTAAATGTATACACGGTACATATACCAAAACAACATTTTTTACAATTTTTGTCTGTCTGACTGTCTGTTTGTTCCGGCTAACCTCTGAAATGGCTGGACCGATTTTGACGGGACTTTCACTGGCAGATAGCTGATATAATGAAGAGTAACTTAGGCTACTTTTATTTTAGAAAAAAATAGGGTATAAATGAAAAATTTAATAATATCCGATTCAAATAGGGAAGTTGTGTACATACCCTAGGGAGTCGTAAGTTCCCCCCCAACGTGCGTTCACCTTGTCGTGGTGGGGGGGCTCAGTAGTGCCCGGCGACCCAACCGGGCGCGAAGCTAAGTAACGCACAGGGAGGTTGCCCACTTCGGTGGGCGGTGGGAGGTGGCCCTCTTCGGGGGGCGGTGTACCATGCGGGTTGCTCCTGGTACTTCTCTGATAGCAGAGTGGACCTTGGAGCAACCCCATGGTTGTGGTGGTCTGCTTCGGCGGACCTGCCGTCGGGGCGTCGTAGTTGAATGCGTAAGCGACCCTGCGACGCCCCATTAAGACGGGGGAAGGTTTTGTTGGGTTTTAGTGGGTAGTACTGGCTGTATTACGCCGGTGAGTCCCACACGTCGTGCGTAAATGCATTTCCCAACGTTAAAAAAAAAAAAAAAGGGAGTCGTAAGTTATATAATAAACTTTATAGCCACGACTGGTTCTAAATTACAAGTACCAATTACAGTAGGAATAAAAAGTGAGTTTTATTTATTTCATTCTTATATTCTGAGAATATAACATAATATGTATGTCAAAAACCGTTTAGTGGAAAAAAATACTATGCGCCGGTCCCTATCGCTAACAAACTAGCTATATACAAGTTATTGGTATTATTGGTCAGGAGTCAGGAAAGGCCTGCAATGAGAGGACGCAGATGTTATTCATTTAAAAATAATGAAAAATTATACAAACCTCAAACAACTTCACATGGTAGAGATAAATCGCCTTTGCCGAACCACCGGCTGAAGCAGCTTTTCTCATTGGCTAAAACGAACAGTACGAATATTATTTATTAGTAGATATATATGGCCGTAATGCAAGAAAAGTAAATATATTGAGAAAACAGCCTATCTGACCATCGAAGATGTAAGCTGTAATTTTAAACATTTAAAAATTTACTCTTTGTTAAGCCGTTACAGCGAGAAAAACTAATACACGCCATACACTGATCTTTTTTTCGCATTTATAAAATTTTATTTAAAGGAGGGTTGACGTCAGGTGGCCGGTCGTAAAACTTTTGCCAAATCCTATCAGCAGTACAGAAGATGTACTGCGCCGACCCCAAGTGATTGGGAAATGGGCAGGGAGAAGAAGAAGAAGATAAAATTTTATTTAAAAACAATTGATACTTAAAATAAATGGAAAAATAAATTCACCTGTACACTAATAAAGTGTTCCTCCAGCAGTTTGTACGTCAGCTCCTTGCACTCCTTGTTCGGTAGCATTGCATTTTTCTGTATGTCCTCCTCTTCTATGTACTTTTTAGCACGAATTAACCTGCGAATATTTATTTATAAATAAGATTTGCGAGATAAATTACCGCGTTCAAACAAAAAACAAACTCTTTTGGACTCCAAAATAACTGGAGCGATTTTAATGAAATTTTCAGTAATCTTCAGGTTAGCCCAGTGGGTGATCCTGTGAATTTTGTTAGCGATCGGAAGTTTGGGCGAAGGCAAAGCCGCGGATAGTATGTGTATATAAAATGGCTATCAAAGGAGTTCTTAATCTTCTTCTATATAAATTAAAATTAATGTATGTATGTTTGTCCTCTATACGTGCCTAAATCTAATTCTCATTCTGTTTACGCCTGCGAAGGTCGCGCAAAAAAATAAATTCTTTGGATATTTGTCACTCAAGGTTAACACAAAGAAGGAGCGTAAGTCGCTAGTTACAAATAAAAAGTATAAAAAAATATGTACATATATATTATAAAACTAAGCATCTAAGCGGTAGTATATACAATAGGGTGGAACTAAAAAATATGTTTTTTTTTAGCTTAGGTTAGAATTTGTAGTATAAAATTTGTTCTATAAAAAATAAAACTTTTGAAATAAAATAGAAATACTCAACATTTTGAGGTGGCCTTCTAATTTTAAAAATAATTAAATTTTTGGTTTGAATGGACATTTTTTTGGTTTGACTTTGACAAATATAGTAATATTCTACCCAACTTTCACTGTAATATTGCATTATTACAATTTATAAATAAGTTGAATATAACATATTACTTTTTTTGTATTAAAAACCTGAATATCCTGGCCGCGTTCCCGCCGAGGCGCTCGGTGACGGCGCGCTCGAGCGCGGCCGCCAGCAGCGCGGCGGCGGCGCGGCGCGCGCACACCGCGTACTGCCCGCCGCCCGCCTCGCCCGCGCGCCGCACGAACCCGCACCCGTTCTCCTCTGCACCGTGCACCGCACATTCAATATATTTATAATATGTAATAATAATGAGTAATATCATGGAACTAGATGGTGCTGTGTGTTGATATACCAACATATTTATATTTACTAGAGACTTACCCTCGCTGCGCTCGGCTTTGTCCCTAAGTACGCTTCAATTCTTTTGACCAAAACCCTAATTCTTTTTCTAAAATAAAAATAGCCTATGTTACTCCCTATAACATCAACTATCTTCCAGTGAAAGTCCCATCAAAATCAGTCCAGCCGTTTCGGAGATTATCCGAAACAAACACACAGACGAAAATTTTAAAAATTATGTTTTCTTATAAGTACCGTACATAATTTCAAATGCATTTAGCAAAACGCTATTATTTTGACATTACAAACAGACACTTCAATTTTATTTATCTGTATAGATGTACAGATATGTATATATTCCATCAAAATCATAAAACCCATTAAATAATGTTATTTTGTTGGAAGGTTATATGTATATACAACACCTGGTAATTCCAATAATGGATGGACATTTATACATTATTCCTTGATCCTACTAACATTACAAATGCGAAAGTTTTTGAAGATGTATGGATGTCTGTATGTATGTTTGTTACTCTTTCACGCAAAGACTACTGAATGGATTTTAATGAAACTTTAAAATAATATAGCTCATAAATCAGAATAACACCATCCATTTCATCCCGAAAAAATGTATAAAGAAAGAAGGAAGCAAGGGCGAGCCGCTAATATACCTATAGATAAAATATAAAAATATTTCAATATAAACTCACCTAGCACCTTTAAATACTGGTCCACGTGCATATGTAACAGAGGCTTGTCCGGGACTCGTCGAGCGTTCTCTCTTAAGTCTACCGCAGAGACAGGAGAAGACTCTGGAGCCCACGCAGATGATGTGAGGTACATCTGTTCTAACAGCACTCGCATTAACTCACCCGCTGAAAACACAAGATTATATATTACTTTCTCAGATATACTCTACAAATAAATAATTATTTATTCATAGGATATACTCAAATACTTGACATCCTACTAATAAATTAAATAATAACTGTTTGTTACATTTTTACTCAAAAAGTACAGAACAGGTTATCTCTCAGTTATTTGGATTTTTTGTTTCCAACGTTTCCATGCTTAACAGTAAATATGGTCACGGGACCCTACAGTATAATTCCCTCTATGCACATATGATGTAGATTCTTACTAGAATTTAGAATATATATAGTTGATATTAATAAAAAAATCTGTTTGTGGATATGTTCTTCTTTACACAGCAACAGAGCTATTGGTTAAATAAAAAAATAATAATGCTTGTACAGTTACATTATTTAAGGGTAAGTAAAGAACAAGCAACTGTTATGTCAGTCTGGCATCACACTTAGCAGTCTGTAATCAAAAATTATTTATTTTTTTATATTCTACAGGAACAGCTATGTCTATTTTTTAAAACTATTTATTTTTTATCTTATATGTTATAAACTCCAATAAAAAATCATTAATATTAATCATTTTTTTTATTGGAATCATTATATTATACATACCATTTTCATCAATTCTCCGTGTTATAGCTTTAATCATAATATCATCTCGAAAGTCTAAATGAAATCTGTCGAAATTCACCTTCCAATATGTATCTGAAATAGAGAAAGTGATACAATAAGAATAAAGTATACTTGGAGGTAAAATTGTGTAAATGGTAATTTATTATTTTTGAAATATGATACATATTTATTGTATCTCTTTCCAAACATAAAAGTGAACTAAAATATTCACTATACAGCCATCATTTACGATTTTATAATATTTTTTATCTTGTATTCTAAAATGATTAATCATTACCTTTTACATGATAACCTCATCATGATGTATTACCATATCATATATTTATTTACTTATATATACAGATAATACAGTTAAATAAAATTGAAGTGTCTGTTTGTAAAATCGAAATAAAAGCTTTTTATTAAATGTATATAAAATTATATACAGTACTTGTAAGAAAAACACAATTTTTAACATTTTTTGTCTATCTGTTTCTTCGGTTAATCTCCGAAAAGGCTGGACCGATTTTGACGGGACTTTCACTGGTAAGTAGCTGATGTTACAAGGAGTAACATAGGCTACTTTTTTTTTTAGAAAAAGAATTAAGTTTCCGCTCAAAACAATCTAAATGTACCTAGGGATGCCCCAAGCAAAGTGAAGCTAAATAATAAATTTTAATTTAATTTTGTAAATTTTTTTATATAATGTACTTACTATCTTTACAATCACTCAAATTATTACTCATAGCTTGCATGAGATCCCTCATATCTAAGTCTGGTACTATAGTGGCAACTGGAACTAAAGTAGGAATTTCACTGTCTTTCAGTTCAGCTACTGGTGCTTGCTGGATATAGCCCGCTGTAGCTAAACTTATGAATGTATCTTTTAGTTTTACCATATTTAGGTTCTTTTCCTGAAATTAATAATATTTTTCCAAATAGTACACATTTTTTATTTCTTTTATAAAATTTTATTCAATTTTGGCATTTGACTCAGTTTGTAGTGTACCCTACTTGCTATGGCAGCAGTCACGGGTTCGAGTCCCGCTGGGGTATTTATTTGTGTGATGAGCATGAATGTTTGTACTCCAGTTATGGATGTAAACATTTATAATATGTATGTATTTAAAATCATATATGTGTAGTGTATCAACTATCTGGTATCCATAACACAGGCCTCGTAGCTTACCCTGGAACTAGATTATGCTGTGTGTTAATGTCCCAACATATTTATTATTTATTTATTATTATTTATTCTAATTTTTAAAAAGGAGATGTGATAATATTTTATTCATATAATGGTCACTTTACCTTGTCATCCTTATATTTGTTCATAACAGTAACTAACAAAACAGTAGCAGTACATGACGCCTGCTGCAATAGTTCCTCGACTATCATTTCCGCTTCACTTCCATATTTACTTTTCATTTGTAACAGATACCTAATAAAAATATTTTGGTTTTAAAATGTTTTTATTGCTTGGTAAAATGGTAGGCAATATAGTATACAAATCAAATTTGCTCTTGAAAATACATATGTAAAGTTATCATTACCTAGGATATCTTATAAGTAACAATATATTATCAGGATTCAGCTTATAGTTAACAATAACATCGTTAGCTTCAAAACTTGCCAAGTCGAACTTTAAAAGAGTTCTCAAACTTTCCACAACCTGAAAAATTAATACGAGCATCCGTATATTATTACACTAAAAGTAATGAAAAGTTTTCAATCAATATAATCAATTAGATATAGTGTACCTGTGTACGCGTAAGACCTGTAGTCTTAATTATCATAGTTAACTGCTTGCTCCCATACGTAAATAAATCATTGCCAACTTGCTGCACTATGTCTCCATAATATCTTTGAAGTATTTGTGAGACGACTCGTCCTAGTTGATGTGACATTTTTTTCTAAATACTATAATTATATAATATTTTAAAATAAGTTATTCTTCTACAACTATTTTTATTTCCATTTATACGTATTAATTAGTGAAATGTAGTTTGCACTTTGCACATGTTCATTTGTTTACAAATTTTGACAAGTATATCAAAGTATACATTGCTGACATTGACACAAGCTGACATCTACAAATACATTTGTAGAGGTTTTTATAAAATTACAAACTAACACCACAAAACAAAAAAATCAAATTAACTATTTTTGCCTTTTGTAATCTGTAAAATTTTTTATGTCTCATTTAATTAGTTTCAAAAAATGTTTTTTCACTTAAAATATACCTTCGCCAGAAACCATATAAATAGTCACAAAAACAAAAATAAAAAGCCAATTTTAATATTAATGTGGATATCCTTATTTTTGTTAAAATACAAAATGCAAATGTTAATGGAAGGCCCCCCTAAAGGGTTTTTCCCCGCAAATGCATTAATACTGTCACTCATGTCAACAAATAGCACCTTTCTGTTTAGACTTTAGTTTACAATTATTAAAGTTTTCTTTATTAATAAATAAATTTACGAATAACTTACGTTCGAATAAATAAGTGTACATAATTAAGATATATGACATTGTATATTTGTAAAGCAAAAATAAGCGAGCTCGTTTTGATATACATGTATTTACTATTTGAAATACACTGTTTTAAATAGGGTCATTATAAATTTAAAATATACACAATATATAAAAAATAATAATGAATATTGAAAGTGCTGCTATAAATATATTAAAACGAGGCGTGGAATTAGATACCAAAAAGAGGTATACAGAAGCCCTTGTGTGCTACCAGGAAGGTTTGCAAATATTAGTAGATAAGATAAAAAGTAAGTGTATTATTGCTCCTACCCTCAAAAAGTATTTTATTTTGCATTTATTGGTGAAAGAGAAATTATAATCAGCAGTCAATGTTTTTTCTATAATTTTGTTGATTGTGTTATTTCAAAAATGCTTAATTTTACTTTTAAGGTATTAAAGTAATAATTATATCATAAAATAAAGATAACACAAAAAGGCAATATAAAATGTTGTCACATTTATTTTTTCAATTGCAGATGAACATGATGATGCTGCCAAAAGTTACCTTCGCAAGAAAATTGAAGAATATATGAACAGAGCAGAAGCTATTAAGAAATTAGTATTACAGCAGAAAGAGGCTGGTCAGTTTCATGAACAAGTGCTCATAGAGAATAATTCCACAGGTCACAGCTATAAATCATTATTTGGTAGATTTCTAGATGGAGAAGTACAATATGTACTTGTTGAAGATCCTTATATAAGAAATTTTCATCAGGTTAAGTATATGTCATAATTTGTTCTTTTTAATAATTACTTTGGTTCAATGAAACGGTGGGTAAGTCTAAAGGATTTTTTAAATCTTATTTTTTTATATTATATGGCTATTAGATATTGTATTACATATATGACCATGTTATGCTGGAACCTTAAGTATGAACTCTTTAATGATTGCAATATTCCCTAGGAACCACTAAGATATAAAGTAACCTATATCACTTCAATCTATCAGTTATCTTAATTAGGAAGTTAGGCTTATAACAATATATTTTTATGTATATTTTTCAGTGTCAGAATTTTCTCAGATTGTGTGAGTTAGTAGTAAAATCATGTGAAAATTTACAACACATAGAATTATTGACAACTAAAGACAGCAAATCAGAAAGTGATCAATGGGAGTGGTTTTCAAACTTACAGAATGATTTACTCAAATACAGAGTCCAGTTAATTATAAAATATTCGGAAACACTGCATGATAGACAAATAACGTGAGTATTTAATGAATAAAACATTTTCCAATAATTCAAATTTATTGGAAAATAAAAAATACTTCCTTCATATAAAAATTATTAATGAATACATAACTTACAAAAGCCAAGCGAAGACTAAATTTTGTGAGAACATTTTAAATAAAACTATCTTTTTGGATTTTTTCGCGAATTTATTTTGATTTTTGGTTCCCGACGTTTCAAATGCTTTACAGCAATCATGGTCACGGGAGAGACTGAGGTGTTAGATGTCTCTAAGGTATTATGTAGTTGTTACAGACAGCCTACCCACAATTAACAAAATGAATTCAAAAATTGAAAAATGGCACTTTACCTTACAATATTTTAACTTTTTTATATAATTTTAATTAGCTTTATAATTGAATATGGAATATTATTTATTTAATTTGAGCTGTTATTATTATAATTATTACAATTTTAAAAATATTAATTATTAATCTACATTTTTAGTGTTGCCATTATTATATTTATAACCATAAAGAAAAAATCATAATATATTAATTATTTAAGCCACATAATTGATCTATGTGTAATTTGAAAAAGTTAAGATTAATTAAAAATAATAATTTTAATTTGTTAAAATATTGTAAGGTACTTTAGTGCCATTTTTTAATTTGTGAATTCATTTTGTTAATTGTCGGTAGGCTGTCTGTAACAACTATATAATACCTTAGAGACATCTAACACCTCAGTCTCTCCCGTGACCATGATTGCTGTAAAGCATTCGAAACGTCGGGAACCAAAAATCAAAATAAATTCGCGAAAAAATCCGAAAAGATAGTTTTATTTAAAATGTCAAGTATTCGCGTAAATCTAAGAAAGTATTTTGTGGGAACATATTAAAAATTCACCTCATATAGTAATTGAACCCACAATCTTCAACTTATATATAATATACAATATACGACTATAACTTATATAACTTTAACGCTTCAACGGTCGCGAACATGCCGGCATGGCAGTTAACAATTGATTTCCTGGATACTAACCATGGAGGTGTAAGCTAAAAAGTCCATCAAAGTTACTCTGTCGAACCAAACTCCACTTTACTGGAAGTTAAAATTGTAATTAATTTGTTACAGGTTAAGTTCAGGTTGGATAATCAAAATTGGCAGAGGTTTAGACTTTTATAAAGCACCAGAAAACAAATTTTGTCTTGGAGTTTATGATTTAGACTTACGACAATGTCATGAAACAACAGTTGATATAGTTCATTCAAAAAATATTAAGCAATCTTATGGATGAAGATGAATGAATATGAATTATTTGTGATAATATATTAAAAAATGTTTCTACTTAAATATATATATACATTTTTATTTCTTGCCAATATTTGTATATTTTTATTTGTGCTAAAATCCGTGTTCTATATTTTTTTTGCATTTATATGCACGGATGAACATAAAAATAATTACACTTATTGCATTTCAATTCCACTTAAAATTGGATTATGTATTTACATTTGGGGTCTCAGCAGGAATAAAAAATTGTTCAATTTATTGTCAATAGATGGCGCTGTATCTATTTGCTATTGATGATTTTGTAAAAAAATCCTTTTTTAATTAAATTACATTTAATTATAAAAATAATAGAAGGAAAAAATAGATCCCAATAAGGTATACAATAAGATTTTAAATCGAATACTGAAATCAAATTACCCTAATTTTACTAATTATTGAAAAATGACCCATTAGTAGTTTCCACTGCTTGTTGGTAGATGGCGTTGTTTATATTTCATAAGTTTGTTTTATGGTTAAAAACTAATTTTGCTATATTTTAGTAAATGTCTATAAAACATTACATAATTCAATAGTTTGCAGATCTACGCCATCATCATTCATAGACTCACCTATAAAATAACGTAGTCCGAATTAAGACTATGTAATTTCTTTGTATCTGTACTAGTGTAGTGTTGGGTAATCACTAATCAATGGTATTAACTGTTATATAACTTCAGGCCCATATAATATTTACAGGCCCAATAGCATGAGGCCTCATCAAGATTAAAGAAAAAATAGTTAAAATGAATGTCAATAGATGGCATTAAATGTATAGATTTGTTATAGAAGTTTGTGTGTAAAAATACTCAAAAAATAAAAAAAACATAGATGTTTCAATTTTTTATTGTTTTAAAAATACAGTAAGTGATGGAAAGCAAAATAATGCACACGTAAATTAAATTTGCGTAATTTTACTAATTATTGAAAAATCAGCAATCAGATAATAGAGGTTTAGGTTTGTAATGCATATTGCATATGGCGCTTTTACTTTTCATGAGTTGTTCATTACGGTTAAAACTGTTATAGTCGGTAAAATATTTTTATAAATTTAGGGTAAATTTTACAATATTAATCTTATTTTCTTTTAAACATATTTATAAAATAGAATAATTCGACAACTAGCGGATTATTAACATATATTAACTATTAAAATCAACAAAAATAGCCCGATTTAGCGCTGTCCAATTTAATTTTATGGGAATTGGCATTTGTACTATAAATAGTATCATGTCATGTGTAATGGTGTATTTATCGAAAACATGTTAGGTGTCATCTTTTGAGGTATTTTATGTGAAGTTCGTATCTAAAATAGTTCCAAGGAACAATTTTATATAGGCGAGTTATAAAAATAACTCACTGCTAGTACCATTTATTTGAATTGGTATTTCAGTGCAGACCATTTTGGCTTGCCTGAACGTAGTTCCAATAGGCGCTGCTGAAATATAATAATATACTATCACATGATAACTCAGTCGTTGATTATAATCACTGTAATCAGTGATTAAAGAGTTGATCTAAACGAATTTGGTAAAAGTGGAATTTAACAACAGAAAGTGATGCCTCTTTTTGAAACTAGATGGCGTAGTTTTTATTCTATGCAAACGATCGAATAGGTGCCTAAATTCAGCTTCTATATAATATTTTCTATTCGAAAATATTTCTAGCGATTGTTTGGAAGCTAGTGTATATATTTTTCATATTTTAAAGAGTTTCTGGCAGAGAAACAATTTTATAAAATACAAATATATATGTGATATTGTATTTTTATCCACTTTTTGCCATTATATTTTTGATCATTATTACATGATTAATGTTAAACAAACTTATAAACCTCTCACATATTAATTGTCTTCTTGACTAATTAATGACATTAATATTTATTATCGTCACATATTATTTACAGTTTTTTTACAGTTTTAGAAAATGTTCATGACAAACCGTTCAATGATTTCAATAAAACTTAGCACACATAAACCGTAGATGAACTGGAAGTCACTAAGCAAATAGGATAATTTTAATGCGTTTATTACATCCAGGTAGTTCCAATAAAATGTTATTAAAAGATGATTTTCTCCATGAACTTTGAACGCGAACTCTTCTCATGGGAAATAGAGTAGACCTAGTTTATTTTTTTAAAAGGTATCAAAATAAAACCATACAAATATAATAATACAATATACTTTATTTAAACACAACAATAATCATCGACTGCATGTTCCATTATAAATATTACAAAGTATAGAGTTATAATACACCTATACGTATTTAGAGGTGTTCAAAAGTTTATTCGAAAGTGACTTAGCACTTTAAAGTGACAAAATCCTATCTGTTATTTAAATAAAATATTAAGTTTGCAATAAGACTAGCCTAAGTATGGCAACTACATACATACTTAAAGATAAAAAATGATGGTCAAAGATAATATGGTATAAAAAATTGTGAACCAAACTTTCTCATACCATTTTATATATAATTAGGTTTAATTTATAAGTTACATGAAAAAATGAGCATCACAATCCTTTAAACAAAAGTTGAAAGATGAAATGAATCTCTTTAGATTATCACGCAAAAAATATTTTTTATATTATAGTATCATGGACCAAAAAAGCGTGTGTGTGTACTTATGTACGCACGTAAGAAGTTATACTTCTTTGACGAAACAGAATAAAAATAGCTAAAGATTTTATCCCGTATGTCACAACTCTGTAAAAGGAATGCAGATACTTCATCGTGTTGTTTTTTTTGACTGTCGGTGTAAAAATTTTACTCGCATATTTTTTCCAAACATGCCAAAAAAGTATAACTTCGAATATTTACACATTACAAACTAAAGGGTGCACGTGGAATGTAATTAAGCTTGAAATAATTTCAATTGTCATAAATAAAGGGTGAAATATTAAAAATACAAACTGGTATTAAAAGTAGGTAGCCATTTGTTTAACTTATCGTTTGCAAATTATAAGTTATTTTTTAAATTAAATCTTTGGATGCAATATTTCTGTCGTAGAGTCTTAAAAAATGTATATCAAAATGATATATTAAATGATATAATATATATCTTTATAGGAAAGTTTCTTCTAAAAATCAACGATTTTATTTTAATTCGTTATTAATATTTTACTTTTATAATCTAAATAATATAGAAGGTTACTTCATATAGACTGCATTGCGATAACACACTGACAGTGAAGTTAAAACAGTAGACCGATGAGTCCATCAAATCTGAAATGACCTTTTAATAACTTAAAAAAAAAATAGGAGGTACTTAATTAACCTGTAATTTTTGTGTGCATATAACGTGATATATTCGCCAATAGTAAATCGATTTTATAGATTTTTTAATAAATAATACACTATACCTCGTAGGATAGAATAATAATTATTTTTAAGTTACTTTGAAGTCGATGAACTGTTTTCCTTTATAATAAAAGAGCATTTAAAAAAAATACTCTCCAAACGAAACTTTTTTATTTGGGCCTAGAAGAACATTTATAATTCTATTATATGTGTTCCAATTTTAATTTCACAAAATTTAATATAATATTTCTACATAATATAATCCTTACACGTAGCTTTCTTGCTTTGCGGAGAAGAGCATTAACGATTCCATCAGATGCGGTCTGACCATTTCATCGACGTCTTTGCTGTCAGTAAAAGCTTCTGGATGGTGTTTGTATAAAGTTCTGAGAGCTTTTAAGCAATATATGAGCGTTTGGTCGGGATTGAGTTCGGGGTGCGGGCGCGTCCGTTGCACCCTTACCAAGTGGGTAAGGTGTGGAACGCCCTCTAATTGTACTATTTGTTGGGCGACGTCGGGGACTACTGCTAGTCTAGAATATATTAAAGGAATAACGTTTTAGATGTAAAAAAAGTGATATTAAGATTTTTAAGATAAGATTTGTTAAGTAAATTGAAAGTTTAAATTTAAAATATTCGAGAATACTATTCATAACACCGTGTAACTAATAAACAAAAGAATAAACTATGAAGTGTTATATTTTGTTATTTTTCTTATTATTTTTCAAGAAATGTAAATTATTTGTTGTTATAGGCTTTGCAATATAGATTTGACTTTTAATATTCGCATGGTGTGGTAGTATGGGCTTCGAGTTCTTTAGACCAAAAAAACCCAGTATTCAGCACACAACTCACCTAGAGATGGCCTCGGCGGCGTGGCAGTGCAGGCGCGCCAGCGCGCGCGCCTCGGCCGCGCGGGGCGGCGGGGGCGCGGCGCCGGCGCGCGCGAAGGCCACGAGCGCGGCGCTGGCGGCGGCGCGCGGCAGCCGGCGCACGCCGCGCGCCGCGCGCGACAGCGACGCCAGCAGCGACGCCGTCTGCTCCTGGCGGGGGACGGGGTTGTTCTTAATATCTCTTATATTCACTTGTACATCTTATAATATTAACTGAGCATTTTATATCTTAATATATATATAATTCTTTTGTACGTGTATTTGTTAATCTACTCTTCCTAAAGGACAGGACCGATTTGGATGAAATTTTGTGTATATATTTCAATGGGCTCCTGGATGATTTGAAAATACAAATGGACCCAGTAGCTGGCGCTGCATTCGATGTACCACTAACAACTCCTAAACGGCAAGGATGATTTTAACGATATTTTTTGTGTATATTCGAGTGGGTCCCTGCAAGGTTTGAAAACACAAATGGGCCCAGTAGTTGGCGCTGCAGTCGGTGTGTCACTAAATTTTATAAAAGACTCCATTTTAAACTAAATTAATTTGTTGATTAAATAAAATAAAAATCGATGTATGTATGTTTCCTATGGACTCCAAAACAGCTGGAGCGATTTTGATGAAATTTTCAGGTAACCTTTAGATTAGCCCAACGGATGATCCTGTGAATTTTGTTAGCGATCGAAAGTTTGGACGCAGGCAAAGCCGCGGGTACTGCTTGTATGTTATAAATTTATTTCGTGTATCTCGAAAAAAAACAATACAAAAACGAAAAGTATGTCAAGATTTTACGTGATACCTACGATATTGATAACGAATTAGATTAAGAAAAAAATGCAACAGAAATTACAACTTTATAAGCCTCAATTTAAATGAAGGTTTTCTTTAACAAAAAAAAAATTCAATTAAAAAATAATATAATTTAATTCTTACCTGCAAAAACACGGATATATTTGGACCACGTCGCTTAACCGCATCTAACAGACGCTCAACAGTTTTATGTTTGGTTAATATTTCTATAATATCTGATTCATTATTTGCATCTTCCTTCCTCTCCAGTTCCAATTCTCGCACCAAGTTCACGAGACACGCGGTACAAAGCAGAAGCAACTGACAGCACTCAGTTTTTGATACAATGCCTGGAAAAATAAGTATAATTAGTGACATATTAAAATTAATAATTATTTATTTTTTATTTATCAATACCACATTACATGACATTTTTCTAAATGCATGTGTTGTCGTTTCGACTGTAATATTAAAAGAGTGATAAAAAAATAAATTAAATATATTATTTCTTTATGGATATGGTAGTATGCATTATAAAGAAATAAGAAAATATCAAGCGATTGATGACATACTTTTCAGTTTATATTTATGACTTAGCACAAGAAATCTTGTAACTACTAAAATGAGGATAATTATGTGTTAAAATACAATTATAATTATAAAGTATACGATTGCTAATCAACAAAAAATAATATTTTAATATCCAATATAAAAAAATCTTTACTTCTACTATATTCCATACTAGATGTCAGCATTAACAATGGTATTCTATTCACCGCTAGATGGCGTTGATAAAAGAATAATGTTTGAGATAGCGTGTAATTCTCAGAATGTTATGTATAATGTTTAAAATATTTAACATTGCATTGAACACTTGGTCTCTATTGTTTCCGATTGGTTACAGTTAACCAGTTGGTTTGTAATTGATTTTTACAATGAATATTATTTATTGTTTAACTTTTACATATTTCAGCAGAAACGTATATGAATACTAGCGACTCACCCTCGCTTCGCTCGGTTAGTCCCTAGCTTGCTTCCCAATACAAACTTTCACCCCCATTTTTCACCCATAAGGGATGATTTCCGGGTTAAAAGTATCATATGTCCTTCCCAGGGTTTTCATCTAAATCGGTTAAGTAGATCCAGAGATTACCCCCTACAACCTCACAAACTTTACCTATTTATAATATTAGTTTAGATAATGAAGGGTAATGTAAAAAAATGATAGAAAAGTAAAAGATCAAATTATATATTTTTTTAAATAACAGAACTGTTAATAATAATAGTTATCATAAGTATGTACGATACGCGTATCTTCGTTAATTATAAACAGATTTCCATAATTTAATAAGTTGAAGTTTAACTCAAGGTTAAAATAAAATACCTTAAAATGCCTTTAAAATTATTTTTAGCCAGCATTTTAGTTAAAATTTAATAATATTATCAGAAGTAACCTAACCTACCAAACGGGAACCGTACATTTCCGGGATAAAAGTAGCCTATGTGTTATTCCAGACTATAATCTATCTCTGTGCCAAATTTCATCTAGATCCGTTCAGCTGTTCTGGCGTGAAAGAGTAACAAACATCCATACACACAAACATTCACATTTATAATATTAATACGGATAGTAAAAATAATAAATGGAACAACAAAATTACTTACCAGTAATATTTTCAACGATGGAATTCAAATACAAGTGTAGTTGTGTGAGATCGTAGTGGCCGCGCAGCCACGGCGCAGTGATCTGCGTGAGTACAGTGATGGCCTCTCTCATCTGTGGTTCCGGGTTCGATTTATCTGACAGTATGTCTGATAGAATTTCTATACCACCGCCCTGAGAATATTAATATTACTTTATTTACTAACAAGCGATTAAGTCTCGCTCGGATCCCGAGGTGCCTAATGCTTATGTGTTACTCATATTCTATCTGTGTACGTCTTCACCGTAAGGCACGTGGTAATCATGTTAGAAATGATTCGCACATGAAAATATCAGAGGTGCGAGACCCGGGATTTGAACCCGTTTCACTCGGTTTCCCAAGCGAGCGCATTACCACTGGGCTACCACTGCCTATCATAAATATCATGGGCACATCTATATAGTAATTTAAATAATATTTTTATTTAAATAATAAAATGTAGTAAATAAAAAGTGTTTTGTAAAAAATATACTCGGTATTTCAAGGTGTTTTTGTTATGTCTGTGAAATTACTATGTATCGGCAAAACGTAAAAAATATTTTAAGGTCAAGGTCAATTTTCAACATGATGGTTTTTTTTTTGTTTTTCATTTCTCTTAAAGACTTAAGATAAAGCTTGCATACTTCTTAAAGATATATAATCATACATGGCTAGTTAAAAAATTGCACAATCAGAATACGTGTTTTTAGGTCATCATTAAGATCGCGGGTTCGAGTCTCTTGCGACACAATGTAGGTATTGTTTGCTTCAAAATTAATATAGTTTTTACATACCTCTTCAAACTGTTTCACAGCTTCCCCGTTCACACAGACTGTCGCTAAAGCTCTGAGAGACAAGGCTTTTATCGAGCTTTTCTTAGTTTCTATAATCGCTGTTAATAACGCTCTAGGGACGCCACAGTCTACGAATGGCAGTTCTGTTATATTTTTCATTATCTTTGCACATTTCTCATGTAACGAGCTTTCCGAGTTCTCATTAAGCATTGCTAGGTGACCTATCGATGTTAGCGTGCTTTTTAGTATTAAATCTGATGGCGGCTCTTCTATTATTGATACTAGAGTCTGAAAAAAAGGATTTTGTTAATATTTATGATGCTCAGTAACCTATGAGAAAATCCAAGGTATAAGTTATCTCCATTCGCTATTTTATCTCTTGCGATGTTAGCGTGAAGAAGCAAGCAACAAACAAACTCTTCTTAGATTTTGTTCTGAGATTTGTTTTGAATTTGTTGACTAAATTTGCATATATTATAATATATTTAAATAAACGTGTAAGTTAATTTTAAATAATAATTTTCGTATAAAAAGTATGTATTCATTCTTTTTTTTATGACCACGTCTTTAATCAACACTCTAAGCTAAGTTTATTAAGCATTGCATTCCATCGAAGCTCTATTTAATATCCTCTTGTTTATGTTAATTTATAGATTGTATCGCAATTTATTCTAACGATGCATTCACTTTGGTTACTTCAATTAAACGTATTTGAATGTAGCGTCTATGTACAATTATTTATTGTTCATTATTTGTATAGTAAACTAACGTCTTACCCTAGGTACATTTTATTTTTTTGAGCGGAACCCTCATTCTTTTTCTAAAATTACCTAAAAAGTAACCTAAGTTACTCCTTATAACATCAGCTATCTGCCAGTAAATGTCTCGTCAAAATAAGTCCATCCGTTTCGGAGATTAGCCAGAACAAAGAGACAGACAGATAGACAAACAGACAAAAATGTGAAAATTGTGTTTTTCGCATAAGGACCGGAAATAATTCCATATGCATTTAGTAAAAAGCTGTTATAACATTACAAATAGACACTTCAATTTTATTTATCTGTATTTATTTAAACTAAATTCCTGAAAATTGTTTTAGCTTTCACTAAATACGTAAATGCATTATTGTGGTGATAACCAACCTTCATCTGTTGCACTAGAACCGCCTTGGTAGTTTCTAAAAATATTTCGATTAGAGTATCCAAATGCTTCTGAACTAGGCTCCACTCCGGTTTACTTTCGTTTAGTTCAATTTTCACATCTTCGCCTATGTCTATTAGTTTTTGTAAGTACAACTGTAGGGACAGTTTTATTTTGTTCCATCTTTCCGGGGTTTCCCCGGGAGGCTTGGTGTTTAGAGTGATGCTGTGAGCTAAGACAAATTCGTTGATATTTGCGACTAGAAGGCAAATTTGCTCTTCACTGGTTTTATTTGATTCCATTTGCCTGAAAATATAATTTGATTTAAGTATGGAAATATGTACTCGTATTATTATTTTTGTCTTATTTAAGCTTTTAAAGTACAATCTTTTTAAAATAAAAAAAAAGCAATATTTATGTCAATGTCAATAAGGTATAAAAAATTAAGTTTATAAAATGCAAACATTTAAAAAAAATTGCTTTAATTATTTTACAAATTTATATTTTATTATATATACCTAATAACATCACTGTATTGATGTACAATAATCTGTCCGTGCGTTTGTACTTTCTTTATGTTTCCAGTGATAGTGGCAGAACTTGCGGAGACCATTGCCTTCATCTCAGCACCCAAAGGCTTACTTTGCAACGTCGTCATGCATTCATTTTCACACGAACTGACCAAATCGCAAAGCCAATATTGCACAGGTTCTGGTTTCCTTTCACATAACCGCTCTAATGTAGTTTGATCTATACTCCTCTCTCTGTACAATATTTCGTCCCGATTATTTAACACTAGTCTGGAATTTACAAGATTTATTAGTCAACGACTTCAATATAATTATAATCTAAGTGATTCGTTAGAAAATACGTGTTAAGATATATTTATTGTTTTTAATTTAGATTTATTATAGTTTTACTTACCCGCTATTAAAATTTTCTAGTAGATTAACTCTGTGAGGTGTTTTCTTATTGCTACTTTGTACACCATTTATGAACTCATGAGGTGCGAGCATTTTTGGTGTCGAAGTACATCCTAAATCTAGCTGAACGTCCATAAAGTTTAAATCATGATCTTTTAATTTCTCCCTTTTTGAATCGTGTGTTAAATCTTTGTCTGATTTAGAGCCCGTGTCGTAAGGAATCTTTTGTTTGTCTTGAAATTGCAGTGGCGGCGTCAGTCTGTTCTTATCGAAATTGTCATTTGAAGAGACTTTATTTTTATTTTTTGTGTTTGTATCACTTTCTGTTCCTATAAGCCTTTCGTTATAACTAGGTATCAACATTTCTTGCTCTTTTGGATAACCAACAATAACCCAGGAATCCTGGTCACAGGTTCTAGGTAGACCTAGGGACGGTACACGACTTCCATTTAAAATTCCACCAGCTTTGCTATCTACTATACCAGGTTTTTCCTTCTTTGAACCAAAAAATTTAAATGGTTCTTTTTTTTCTTTCGTAGCGGATCGATGTTTTGCTTTGGGACCAACTTTTTTGGACGGTTTTAAATGGAGGCTATCCATAATATTCTTACCTAAGAGGGCTTTAGTTGGTTTGTGTAATTGTTCTTTAGGCTGTATATTTACTTTGGGCTGTTCATCTTCTTCTATGTACCCTAGGGAGTGATAACCTTCTTGAATATCTAGTATTTGTTGGTCTAGTCTCTGGCCTTCGAAGTTAAGTGATTGATTAAGCCTGTTCCTTTGAAATTTAGGTGTGGTGGAAATAGGAATGTTCTCTTCACTAGACATACTTCGCTTGTATTGTGGTTTTACGGTTGAAATTCTTTCTGTAGGTACATATGACACATTAGTTATTGGTGTACGAACTCTAGGTTGATTATTGACAGCAATTTCATTGTTGTGCGATAACCTTATGTATTCAATGCTATCGTCAGATTTATTTTTACTCGTTTCTAAATCTTTAACTGTAGCTACTTTGCTCGTCTTGGTACTGTCGCTGTCAGTGCTTGATACGAATTTCTTAACTGGATATTTCTTAGAAGGACTTAAAATATTAAGATTTTTTACAGATATATCTTTGGTATCTACATCTATTGCACTTGAGTTTAGAGTATTTCCTTTATTGGCTATATTATGTGAATTAGATTCTGACGCTGAATTGTTTACGTTTTTATTGATTTTTGAGTTTATAGTTTTATCTATAGTTTTCGTTACTTTATCTTTTGTTGGTTTATCATTATTTATATTTCTAGGGGCAGGATATTTGGGTGCTATATTGTTTTCACCATCATTTTCTTTATCTTTTAACAATTCTAAATGCTCTTCGTCGTGATGAATTTCACAATACTTTTGTAAATCGTATGGAGTTTGAATTACGCTGCTACTTCGTAATCGAGGTTTTGGTGTGGGTGCACCACTACTGGTATCTATTGTTCTTGAAGTATCAACAACATCTTTACCACATGATGTATTTTGAAAATCAATGGCTTGTTTAACTGTTACATTTTCGTTATTATTCGAGTCGCTGCTATTTATTGATTTGTTTTTATCGTTGCTATTATCGGGGGAAGAGTAATACTGGGAAGTCGGTGGGGAGCTATCAGAGTCAGAAAATCCTGAATCCTGACTCTTATGGCTGCCAGGGCTGCCGTGACGAAGAGGCCATTGGTTTGGCATATTATTGGGCCTAGCTAAATTATCATGGCTATTGTTTCTTTGTTCGGGCTGGTTCGCTATCCAATGCGGCAGCTGTGGCTCCCATTCTTGATCATCTCGTCGATTGTTTTGGTTCCACTCGGCTGGAGCCACTGGACTGCCAATATTTGGCGATGCGTCACCCCACCAGACCTTGCTTCTTGTTCGTTGAAAATTGGACATCCTGAGAAAAAAAAACAAAGAGTTAGGTAAATGACGTGGGAAAATTTAAGCTAGTGAGTGTAATGATCGGTTCAAATGACGTAATTTCTTGGTCCATTATAATCGGGTATAGGTTGAGAATACGTGAAGCGTATCGGTTCTTTCCTCCCCGAAGTTGACACTATTATTCATTTAAAAGGTAGTTGAAATAAGCTTTGAATATATGAAAATACATATAATAAAACGTCATTTCAACGCATTGCAGGCAGATGTTTAAAACCGTTGCAGATTCTATTGTGTTTAGGGCAAGGGCTATTAGAGTTGGCTGTGATTTCGGCACCCCTCGTTTTCTTATGCACTGGGAACTAAGGTCACTGTGAATAGTTCTAAATACCCATACGTACAATTAGGTCATTTTTTAAAATTTTGTACTTTAAATATAAGGTTATAAAGTTCAATATTGTTATTTTTTTCTATTTAGAACTGCTAATTATTCTTTTAGCTAAACAACTAAAGTAGAGTAAGGCTTGCGGTTTGTGAGTCAAGATATGAATCACAATAACAATGTGTTACTTATTGGTAATGTTAATCGGTCATAATAATATATCTATTGATTAACATAAAGGCTAAATGTTTTGGTTTTCTTAAGAAGATAAATAAATAATAGTTCTGCTAAAATAAAGTTACAGTATTAATTGCTGTGTGTACAAAAATTATGTTCCTACCTATTACTTTACAAAAAAAACCCTATATATAGGTATTACGTAAAAGTATGAAATCGAATTAAATTAATTGTTTACGCTGTTTTTAATATTAATATTTTACAAAAATTTCCTAACTAAAGAACAGGTTTGGCCTTATGTCGATTTAAATGTGATAATTTCGCTAAAAATCTAAAATGAACGTGAACAATTCTTTTGCAATATATTGCGGACAATACAATTAAAACTATATGCTTGACGCGTTATTTTGTATCGCAAGAAAACTTGATGGGTTGTGAAAACGAGTTAAATCTTGCTAAAAGTAAACTTAGATAAAAAATAATTATTACATACTCTTCCTTTTTGATGTCGGTTACTTCAATATGGATGCTTAAAATAACATGTGCACTGACCAGTTACGCAAAATATAAATTTAGTAGGTACCTACTAATGGGTACTAATGACCGCTAATTACTGAGAAATATTTTAAAGTGTTAACGTTAGGATTACGTCGTCATTCAAGGATGATAATTGTCTTTAATCACCTCTTGCAATGCATATGGAGCGAGCAAGTTTCATAAGCAAAGCTAAATATGGTTTAGAAAAGTCTAAATGGAAGTCCCGTTTTGATATTGCGTACTTCAAGAGCTTTCTAAGCTCCTTAGTAATGGAAAAGTAATATATTATATGATCTGTGGTAATATTGATAAAATAATTTATTGTAAAGTAATTGAAATTGTTGTAAATAAATTATTTTATATAAACTTATAAAGTAAAAATATTTTTTATTTAAACTTTTTATATTTGTATGAAATTTTGATACACCTATTTTTTTTTTATAAAAAATCTTATACTACACTAAGTTCAATTTTATTCTTCTATAAAACCTGCTCAAAGTCACGTCATCATAACGTCATGTTGTTGAGGGATGCGGGATAACCGACAGGAAAATACGTTACTCCGTAGGTGCTATTTATTACGTCTTTAAAAATAATAAAAATGTTTGAAACTATTAATATTAACTTTCAACCTCCTTTATGTTTTGCGACTTATCTTACAATAAAAAAATGTTAGGTATTTTTATTTTTATTTATTTATATTATCATTTATTGGCATTTGGGAATCTTTACCTACATATAAAGCTTTCCTATCCCTCATTCTATGAACCACACGAACTATGCCACAGTCAAAACTAATATACCTATGTTATAAAATGACTTCCTACTGTTCATAAAATTCGAAAAAAATGTCTTTAAAGCTATGAAGAATATTATAGGTACTTACAAACATTTAAAAACTATCACATCAGAAAAAAAGTGTTTTAAAATATGTAAAAATGTTATCTTGTAAAGTCTTTGACCTTCCAACAGGCCCTTGCCGACTTCCTTCGCTGTCTCCTGGTACATTTAGATATGCTTCAATGCTAACAATGCAAGCGATCTGGATGACGTCATTAGTTTAAATTGACACTTTTTTGTTTTGTTTTTGTTATTTAAACAAAAATTTATTTCAAAATAAATTATTCTTTATGGGATTTTGTTATATACATACATACAAGTAAATGGATACCGTATATTATGATTGAACTTTTTTGTTTTAATTAAATCACGAATCAGACCAAATGTATCCATAAATATTAAATAGTGATGATCGTGAAGCGAAAGCATGACCAAATTAAAGATATGGCACATTTATCGCGCTCCACTAGAGATGCGTCCGTGACTAATTGCATTTGCGGAATAAGCACATATAAGAAACAAGAAACGTTTAAAAATATACTAATTAAAAAAAATTAAAAACCTAAAATATATAGCCTCTTTGGTACTTGCTACCTTTGCTTAATTTATCTATAATCAAAAAAATTGTCTTGATCTTATATAAAAAAAATTACTTAAATTTGACTGTGTAATAAATCAATCGAATTTAAAGTATCAACTAGTAAAAATATAGAATAAATGTAAAGGTGTGTTTCGCACCTTTTTTGCATGACAATTGACTAGGATGTCCTTGCAAAGTTCACTGGCTCTTTACACATCTAAAAATTCCGGCTTTTTGTCATCATTTTGACGTTCATTGCATATAAACACATTTTTGTTTTATTTTAATTGAACCATCCATTTATTAGCGTATAATCATCTGCGCGTTGTTTATACCTTATACGGTAAGTTATGTGCACCTGGCTTAAACAGAAGTATAAACTATGAGTTAAAGTAAATAAACTGTTTTTGTCATAATTAAGTTAGTTCTAGACTTTCGGTTAAGCTCTAACGATTCTGATTAAGATCTTTTTCATTTAACATTACAAGGTAATTCAATAACTTACTTATCTAGGAACTAGCCGAAGTAAATGCTCGTTTATCTATTGAGTGATGTATACACTATTTCTTCGTGACAAAACATATAATGCTTCGGACCAACAAACATTGGTATTATATATATATATATATATATATATATATATATATATTCTTTATTGCATATTAACAGAGTAACACAGATAATACAGAGACCAATGTGGGCAAAGGTGGACTTATCTCTAGAAGAGATCTTCTAGCCAACCTACGGAAGTGAGAAATAGTGTTATATGATGGGACTATAAGAGTGCACTTGATTTAAGATAAAATTATAAATAATTTATAGTAAATGTGAAATGGAGTAAAAACGTAGTGCAGCTGGCTTAACGGTCGCGTGTCATCTGCTCGTCTGCCATACGCCACGCTTGGGCGTACCGCACCGTGCACGCGCCCTACACACGTGTTCCACTTTGATGCGAATCGCTTAATATTTATTTTTGTAAACAAATAATTTTTACAAATTATATATTATATTTTTATATTTAAAATAACTCAATAGAAAAAAATAATAACGCTAACAATTTTTTGTAACTGTTTTATAAAATTATGATGTCGCAATTCGTCTTACTTAAAAGATAGACATCCGACCAACCTACATATTTTTATGTTGATTATAATCTAAGAGAACGTCTATTATTCTATTCTAGATTTTGAGTAACGTGTTTTTTTTCTAGAATAAAAATCATTTACCTAATAATACCAGATTTTTGTTTATTTCTTACTATTAAATGTAGGCGTAATTACTAACAATAACACTAAATTAACCAATTTTCCATTATATAATATACTAGCGACTCCGTCTCTCGGATTCGTCCCTAGGTACGTTTTAACGGTTAGCATAGGTTTCTCAGAGATGAGATATTTTCCAGCAGTAAAAAGAATCCTATATATTGACCCATATTGACCCGGATAACCAGCTATGATCATACCAAATTTCATCAACATCGATCCAGTGGCTTTCTTGTGATGCTTTCCCAGATAGACAGACAGGCAGACCAAATATTAAAAACTATAGATTCGGCCTTTGTATCAATAATAATTACTATTTCAATAAGATTTTCCAAAAAATATTTAATGTACAGATTCGACTTAGAATTTTATTAAATGTATAGATAGGTAATAATAATAAAAGCCAATAAATCCGGGAAAAAATCAATAAAAACATCAGTTATAAAAATTAATAAATTATTCAATAAATTAAAAATCATTTATATAAATAATTTAATTTGCGATTATATAATAAAAGACAATCAATTCTGAAAAAAAAACAATAAAAAAATCAGTTATAACTATACTGACCGTCTGAATTGCAACGATTTTTTCTCACAAATGTCAACAAAAGAAAACCGTTACATCATATCGATCAAGTGATGTAGTGATTTGATCTCTATGGTTACAGCCAGGTGTGATCAAGTTCCGTTTCGCAAGGGCTCAATCGCCCCTTATCACCCCCTATTTGATGTTACACGTATACAGGATGTTATTAAAATGAAATTCAATTTATAATTATATTTGTAGTTGTTTTGTACCATATAAATATATTACAATAGAGCCAGATCAACCAATTTTAGCATTTACTTCAAAATTACATTTACCTCATAACATTCTCACATTAATTTTTTTATCGGTATCAAATTAATTGTCTTAAGCATGTTTATTTTAGGCCTATTGTAAACAAAATGAAAATTATATATATCGAATTTTAAATCAAACACCAAGCCTTTTATGAGAATATTATAAGTTATGCCAAGTGTTTTTCATTATACCATTTGCGTCAATTATAATTAGCAAAATACAAAATGACGCATAATTTACATAGGTGTTTAGCGAAAATTATTCATATTTTAAAAATTTAAACCTGTTCTCATGTTAACAAGTTGTAACTCTACCAGTTTAAAGAGTCATATTGATTGACACATTAGCACTAGTTATTATTGTCTATGCAACTTTCAACACAATGAATGGT